CGACATCCCCCTTGCAATTACTTTGGGGTGGAGAGCTTTGGTGATCATCAGGGGCGTCTGCAGGGGAAGGCAGTCAAAAAAGTCAAGATGATATATTAAAGGACTGCAGGTAGCCCTCACTTAACGGCCACACATTTAGTGACCGTTCAAAGTTACAACAGTGCTGAACAAAGGGACTTACAACCAGTCCTCACACTTACAACTGTCACAGCATTCCCGTGATCACATGATCGTGACCCAGGCACTTGGCAACCAGCTCGGACTTACGTCCTGCAGCATCCTAGGGTCCCATGATTGCCATTTGCAACCTTCCCAGCTGGTTTCCAGCAAGCAAAATCAGTGGGGAATCGCGTGATTTGCTTAACTATCACATGATTCACTTCATGGCCACAGTGATGTGCTTAATGACCGCTGCAAAAAAGGTCATAAGATTGGGTGCGATTTGCTTAACAACTGACCCGCTTAACAACGAATTTTCTGGTCTGTAATTTTGTATTAGTACTGCACGGTTCCTTTTTCCCCTTCAGTTTTAATTCACTTTAAACACTAGCATGCATCTGTTTCTTTTTTTGACTGAAGAATCACTATTGCATATTTTCTCCTGTATGTTATATTTTGGTTGTTGTGTTTCACCCCAAAAAGGAAAAAAAAATCAAAGGTAAGCATGTTTTGCAGACACAGCTGTAAATGTGCACTTCCCAGAAAGGATCAACAGAGAGAGGAGAAACAGAACAGGACCCTGGGGAGTGGGGAGGGGACGACGCCCCCTTACCTGAGCGAGAGGGAATATTCATTGCGGCTGGTCTTGCTGTTCCGAACCAAGTAGCTGCCTTCTCTGCACAGCGTCAAGAGTGTCTCGGCTTCAGCTCTGCTGATGGGGCCATGAAACCACCTGGAGGGGGGCACAGGACGCCAGAGTCACCCTGGCACATCTGTCCCACCTCCCCTTGCTTTTCCAGTCCAGCCTTCCTCCGGTGCTCTCCTCCAGGTGGGTGTGTTGCAAACCCAGCACAACCTGGGGAGCACCGGGTTGGAGAAGACTGAACCAGCCCACTCGCCTAGTGCTGCTGCTCCTCCTCTGGCTTAAACACCACCGTTCAACATCGGAGGTAGACTGTGCCACGTGGCAAAGCTTACTCTCTATGCACTCTGGTTGGTTTGAACATCATCTTCCTGCTCCACAGCCAAAGCCCAACTCTGCCCTATGCTAAATGGCGGGTGGGTTAGCTCCCAGACGGATAAAGATGCAGGAGAACCAGCTGCGAGATCCCTGTGAGTTTGCCAGATCTCAGGAATGATGCTAGGGGGGAAAAAATCAGAAAGTCTCCTTCCGAACGTATACCAGGATCTATTGGTTGCAAATGCAAAATGCTTCCGTTGCTGGAATTCTCGCAACACCATTCCCTTTCATCTCAATAAATCTTGTTAAAGAAAACCCTGGAAAAACCGGGCTCGGAAAGAATCACTTTTGGTTTTAGGCAGCTGCCAAAAAGCCTGATAAATGGGATGTGGTTATTTCTGTACATCAGCATGGTGGAAGCCATACTGGGGACAGAGTTGCCCTACAGGTCAAAGTGGGCTGGGATCCCATTAACCTTTCTTTCAACAAATCTAGTTAAAGAGAACTAGGTTCAGAAAAGAACTACTTTCACTTTGAGCCAGCTGCCAAACAGACAGACAACGGGGTTCAGATCAGTGGAAAATGGGGTGCTTGTTTCATCTGGGAATCTGAGCCTGTTTGGTTAGCTTCTGGCTCCTGTCTGATGCACATCTGTAATAGGGGTTAAGTGATTAAATGACTTTAGTGAGTCATTTAGCACGCCCACTATATGATTTAAAAAATAATCTGCACCAGTGTTTCTCAACCTTGGGAACTTTAAGAGGTGTAGACTTCAACTCCCAGGATTCCCCAGCCAGGCATGCTGGCTAGGGAATTCTGGGAGTTGAAGTCCACACCTCTTCAAGTTCCCAAGGTTGAGAAACACTGATCTACACATTATAAAGGCCCACTGTAGTGTGGTGGTTAAGGTGTTGGGCTGAAACCAGGGAGAAACAGGTTCCACTCCTCCTCATCCGTGCAAGCTCACTGGGTGATGTTGCCCAGTCAGTTTCTCAGCCCAACCTACCTTACAGGGTTGTTGTTATGGAAAAAAATAGGAACACTGTGTATACCACCTTTCGCTCATGAATGAAAGGCAGGATATAAAATCTAATAAATAATAATATTAGTGCCCAAGCAAAAATGTATTAAACATAGTGTTGTAAGCTAAATCTGAAAGAGGAAGAAGCCTTCTGTGTTGTTCCTTTACGACAGCCTTGCAATCTAGGTTCAATTGTCATCACTAATATTCATATTATTCCTGGTTCTTATAGCAACTTGTCTAGGTGGTTCGTAAAAGAAAAAAAACATGCTTTGATTGTATCAAATGATTATAGTAATGACAAACTCTCTATTCCAACTCCTGTTTGAACCACTTCCCTTCAGCCTGGCACGTTTCCCAGCACGATAAAGTGACCATTTATTTACACCTGTTCACACACCAAGTTCCCGATAATTTGGTCAATAGCCTCTAATGAGAAAAATCACTGGGACAAAAAATAATTAAAACATCAACAATTTGTGGCAAACAGGACACCAATAATAATTACTTTTGAACTGTCAATATACGTCATGGAATAATATCTATTGAATTTTGCTGGAGAGAAGAACGAGAAACGGAAGGGGAAAAAAGGGAAAAAAATGAATGGGCTTTGCTCGGGAAAATCTGATCCGAGAGAGGATGTCAAAAAGTCAAAATGTCACTCGTGACTGTGCAATGGGAAGCCCGCCTCTTTTTCTATGTGGTGATGGGTGTAAAAAGGTGCATCACACCATGGTGGCCATCTTGACTTTTTTGCCCCCCTCATGGATGTCCTGCTTAGTTCCAATTTTGGTGGATTATATCTCCATGCAACAGCCATTATTCATTGTAAAACTGCTTCCTAAAACATAGTTGGAAAGGCAAGTTCCACCCTTATTTTGTTCTTATCCACTAGAAATATATCTTGGCTTTTTTTGGGGGGGGGGGTGAAAAGGCACACAGAGGTCTCCCCTCCTTTAGCCCCACAACCACCCAGTAAGCTTCCATGGCTGAGTGCAGAACTGAATCTGGAGTTTCCTGATCCTCATTCAGGATGCAAGGAGATTTTTAGCATCAAACAAGGTTTCTCAGCCTCAGCAACTTTAAGAGGTGTGGACTTCAACTCCCAGGATTCCCCAGCCAGCATGGCTGGCTGGGGAATCCTGGGAGTTGAAGTCCACACCTCTTAAAGTTGCTGAGGTTGAAATCTCTTGCCCATCCACTTCCTTTCACTTGCTGAACAGGAACCGGGGCAGCCCCAGAATTTTTTAAATAAAAACCGAGGATGGAGGGAGTCAAATTTGGCAATGCCATCCTTTAAGGGCAGCTGAATGGGCTCCTCCTTCTCCCTCCCCGGGCGGGTACCAAAGTCACCCTGAGAGTTGGAGAAACCTTCATCCCATTAGCAGGGAAGAGGAAGGGAGAGGCCTCTGGAGGGCAGCCACGGGGGTCTCCCCCTTGGGGTTGTTGACCCTCAAGCCAGGGAGGACGTGAATCGGTTGGCAAGAAGACCCCCGCAAGATCTCTGTGGAACTCCAAAGCTCATCCTCTGCGGCTTTTGTTCTACTTTACTTAAGTTGGGGAGAAAAAGTCATTTTTTCTCCTCCTTCGCTACCCCATGCATCTGGACTCTCCCCTGTAGACTTCACGCCCTTCCAGATTCTGCTGACTTGTTTCTTTACCTTCTTCTTTGCTTCATAGATTTCCTGCTAACTTAAACAATGTCATTTGCGCTCCCTTGCTCTCTTTATTCCTGGACAGGCCACTGCATTTCTGGGAACAATTTCTAAATGCACAATTTTACCTATGCAGTATTTGGTTAAAGATCCTAGCTTCACTACATAATTTGGAATTTACATTAAACAAGGACATGGGTCTATAAGATACACACAGTTGTGGGTTTTAATCTTAGATCTTTGCCAGGAGATTATCCCCCCGTTGCCCCAGATTACCTATGGATAACCCTGGGATCAAAATATTTTTAAATCCTTCCTAGAATTCTCCAAAGAGCCCATCTAGATAGGGCGATGTTTCATGTAAAACCTTAAAAACTTCAATTATTTAAGCCTTGTTGTAGAGGACCACAGAGGTGTAATGGGATGTAGGAATAACCTTGAGGGACAGGAGGAAGAGCCTCAACCCAAACAACCGTCAGATAAAAGAAATTGGAGTCCGGGGCAGGATTGTAATTTGAGAAGGCATCTCAGACTTGACCCTCCCTCGTTCTCATGAAGATAATGGGAGTGGGAGGAGAAGCATATTGAGACCTGCAAGATTCTGTTACTGCAACCTTATAATAAAAGGAGTACTAGCATTCATAACGTTGGTTTTCTAGTCTGGTCTACCTCGCAGGGCTGACAAGAGGTGACTTTGGAGAAGCAATGCTGCAGTTAGCAAAACATGAACTTAGCCCAGGAAAACAGGAAAGGGTGAGAAGGAAACTCAAGATTGCCTCGCCTTGATTCTCTTTGGTATAAGGGAAACACAAAAGGAAACACGGTCAGGCTCTCAAGATCCTGTTATTGCAGCCTCTGTCATAAAGTAGAATTCCAGTACTTCTTGTGGGGTTTGTTTCCTGATCTGGCCTACCTCAAAGGGCTGACGTTTGCTAAAGATGCACCCAACTATTGGGTATCTTCTGTTGACAGTTCATTTCTTTTGATACGATTGAAAGTGGTTTACCTCTAAGGCTCTTCACAGGTCAGGACCTTGGATTGTTTTCTCCAAGGGAGTCTGATCATCCTGTGCAGATGATCTGGGAAGAGGTGCTGGGGTCCCTACCCCACCCGCCCCTGTCCCAGAAGGGAAGGGAAGGGAAGGGAAGGGAAGGGAAGGGAAGGGAAGGGAGGGGAAGGGAGGGG